CTAAATCACGAGGTTCAATTTCTGGCATTACATACTTGTAGTCGGTTATTATGGCGCGATAACGGTCGCCATTGATGGTTATGTTCTCACCGGCATCATTTTTGAAGACTATGGATCGATAATTCCACCGGCACACAAACCACAACAAACCGTTTTCTGGATGAAATGGCAGCCTCAAATTGTTTTCCGTCCCAAATACGGCAATTTTGCTTCTTTACGTACCTATTGGCTAGAAAAAGAAGACACTTAGAGGATACGGATCTTCTTGGAACTTTTATTTTCTTCACATTCTTTAAAGAAACGCTATTCAGGCGTAAGTCGTTCCATGACGAAACGCCAAACAATACTGAACAAAAATAACATGACATGGCTTGATGCGACTCACGCGTGATCTGTCAAAAAAGGCTATTGTAAAAAGTATCTCTACTTGGATCACCCGTTACATACAATGTACGCCTGTAATGTATTTTTGTCAGGCAACTGACATTCGCAATGCCTCACATGTTGTTGGCTACCGTACCGATTGCCSACCAGCCCATTCAAACCATTACAAACAAACCGATCAGCACAAAAAAAGTCGCTTGGTTGCTTTATGCAGCTCTCGAAACGCTTATTGTTGAAACTACAATTTGGGCAACCACAACTGACAGTGGCTAAAACCTAATTGTTTAGAATAAAATAAAATGTATTTAAGTATGTCTGTCTACAATATTACGATGGTAAATAAATGCATTGTACTAACTGTAGTGGACATTGTAATTCTGAGAGGTATTAGCTTAGAAACTGAAGTGGATACTTTGTGACAAAGCCTGGTGGCGAATGAAATGTTGTATTTAAGAGGTGGCTATGCAAATCCGTAATTTATTCTAATAGCAAAACAATTGCGAAKATAATTACTGAAAGTGTAATTTTTCGGTCCTTCGAGAAAACAATGAAGACACTTAGAGGATCACGAATAACGCCGACTCGGCTAACCGCAAAATCACAATGCACGCATCTCTTTTCATTGGTAAGAGGCACGCACAATGTAACCACTTGTGGGYCTTTCTTTGCTTACAAAAGGTCTTTAGAAATAATTGTACGTTAAGAAAGTACAGATATGCTTTGAGAAACCACTCGACCATACAATGCTGGCCAGTCAAACTCATTGGGTTTGGATAAGGATATGCTTTGCTTTGTATGTGTGTGCATCTACATATATATATGTAGATATAAATATGTATATGAAAGAAGAATTTTCTTTGAGATCTAACAAATTTATATAAAATTCTTAGTTTTTGGATGTAAGAAACCGAGGAATTTTTTGGCAAATACTTCATTGTTACTGTTTCCAACTCGCAAATATTAGTATTCTGATTAGTAGCTTTYTCTTTAGATTCTAGAGAGGTTTGTTAATTGTGTGAACATAGAGCTGATCTTCTCCTCCAAATTGTCATTTCACTAATATGTTRGCCAGGTTAAGCTCCGTGGATGCTTCCATCGATTAACGTCATTTTGTTCTCTCTGCGCAGTAGCAAGCAAGAATCTCATGAGATTTATTTTTCTTTTCCTATATAAAGCTAGGGATTTCAGGGRATTTTTTCTCCTGAAGGGGCTTCACGTTAGCTTCGACACAGAAAACATTCTTCAAATATGCTGTCAGAAGGTATTGTGGTATGCGCTTCTACTCTTCTTTTTTGTGCTTTTAGTCGTGTTTTGGAGCGATATCTCTCCAACAAAATTGACTTGGCTGCTATTATTTCTATATTTAAATCTCTTCATATTAAGGTATTGTGCTTCTGTATTCCTAAATAAACTCTTTGAACAACGAACCAATCGGTATGAGGACGGCATGACAAATCTGTCTCATTCCGTAGCTTGATTTTCCGATATTTCAGATGTTTAGTATGCTTCCTCTTTCCAAAAATATACTAATTTTTACCTCCTTCCAACAGTTTCTCCCCTTTCTATAATTATCAACTCAACATCTCCTTTATKCACATCTCTAATTTCAGCAGCAATTCATGTTAATATGTTACACTATCTATAAAAAAAAAACTAAAAGAAAGAAGTAAACAATCAAAGAACAGCAGCAGCAGCAGCAGCAGCAGCAATCGCCAGCTGACAACAGCAATAACATATGCGGCAAATGCCACACCAACGCCGCGTTACGTTTGACATCTTCAACTGTCAAATGTATGCGGTAAATTGTCGACGGTTTCGGCAAATACACGCGTTTTAAGTACAATAACAAGCGCCAAGAAATCTTCTGCCGGATTGCTATAAGACGACATACGTGGTGGCATCGGCGTTTATGCAATTGGATATGACCTGTCAAGGCGCCCAGTAATGGCCAATTTCATGCTTTATAAAATTTCATGTTTGTTTTTCTTTCTTGTTCACGGTGCCTTTTCGTTTAGTGTTTGTTTGTGTTGGTCCTCCTACAACTCATTTTACGTCGCCAACKTTGTGGTTTGTTCAGACGTCGCAGATTTCAGCCGTCTGTATTAGTCGCAGACTTTTCCAAATACTTACATACATATGTACATGCATRTGTACTTACTGAWTTGGCGCACATACATACAACATGTACATAGGTATGCAGTTATTTATTTATTTTTTATTGTTTCCTATGCAACAAACGAGAGGCGGTTCTGCTTGTCATCGTAAAGTTGGTTTGAGGCTTCGGCGGCTTCCTGCCTCCGTCTGGACCGGCGCACACCAAACAGCTAATTTACTTTTCACCAATAATTTTCTTTTGATATTTGTATGTAGGCACTTACATATTGTGATAAGTTTCTTCAGTTACTCTGTYTATGTACATACATATGTACCATATACATACATACATATATTAGCATTGTCTGTGCTTGCACTTACACGCTCGATCGTTTATACATATCTATGGCATTTATTATTTCTCTCTTGGTGGCTCCTGATTGAAATTATGTATTTTTTTTTTGTTGTGGTTTAATAGATTATTGCCTATTTTACCCCTAGAGATCGCTTAAAGCAGTCTTCAGAAGTCTGATAGCAATCATTGCATGTCGCGGTGAAAGGTACTATTAGGGGTTGCCGCCGCATTTCATGGTAAAATAGTATATACAGGTGTACATAGAACCTGACTAATTAGTAGAATCCTTAATGACGCTAATGATGATGTTGTACTTGTTGACATGGCGTGTTGCGTCTACTTATTCATAAATTAATATKAGATTTCATATATTAAAAGTGATGTGTTCATTTTTAAAATTAGACGCACACAAACAAAGGTTTCAAAAGAAGTGGGTATACAYTTTATTCGTATGCTGTAAGGTTTTCTTTTACGAATCTCTGTCARAAYTAATATTTYTTTATTTAATTGTRTATTTACATATTTATGTATGTATATAGCTACCTCTATATAAAAGTTTTGAGCAGCGAACACCGTTACAAAGCGCTGAACTTTATTACGAAAGTTCACGTTCTGTAAAAAATGTGCGCTCAACTTATGGTTAATGAGCGCACTATTCATAASATCATTACCCTACATGAGATCCMGCATGTATTATTCGATAATATTYGACCGAATAGATCATGTCCAGTACGCGGTGAAGAAATATAGCAGCCATAGCTTAGAGTGTACGATCATGGAGGGTCGGACTGGCGTCTGGACTCAGTGGCGTAGCTACAACTTCGGGCGCCAGGGGCCGAGGATCTTCTGTCGCCCCCCTTTATCTACCTAACTACAAGTTTCATGAAGTGGTTCGAAAAAAGTGGATTTTTACAAAATATCTTCGAGGTTAAGTACAGTGAAACTTCGATAAGTCGTAACCTCGATAAGCGAAAAACCTTGATATTTCATAGTATTTCTTCGGTCCCTAGAAAAATTCGCGAAAAATGCATGTATTTCGGTCCCTTTGATAACTCGTATTTTTCTTAAGACAAAAATTGAAAAATGTGTATCAAAAGCCTCTACAACTCGTATTTATTGTAAACATTGATAATGCCATASATAAAATACGCCAAAATAATGTCCGTCAAAAACATATTACGGATTTCTTTTCAAATGAACACTTTTCTTAATTTTTTTGTACAATTTTTCAAAATACATACATACATATATTGATTGAATAACATATGTACTTTATATTTTAAAATTTAAATATGTACAATCATTTCTTGTTTTTTATGTAAAATTGAACAAATAAATAAAAAAACTCTATAATTCGTATATTCTGTATGTTGCCTAACTTGATAACTTGAAAAACTCCATAACTCGTATTTAAATTGTGGTCCCTTGCAAATAMGAGTTATCGAAGTTTTACTGTATATAAAGTTTAGGAACTAGAAGCCACGCAAATTCTGAAGTTCCAAAACTCTTATTACAACGACTTATTAAAAGCCATAGATAAAACCCATTTTCGCCCTATGTCTTGTACACTTTTGACACAATTTGCAGGAATTTTTGMCCGAATTGGAGTTTTTAAAGAAAAGTGCATCTTTAAGTTCTATCACTATTTTTAMGAAAGATATAAGCCAAGGGATATAAGRCAARYTCAAAGGCTGAAAAGTATTTGAGTAAAAATTAATATTTTTCATTGTTATTCAGATTAGAGTGTACAACTCTTTATCTTTTATAATAAATTTTGTAAAAAAAAAAAAATTGTTGAAGTATTTTTCTGAATATTAAAAAACAGCGAAGATCGTTTTGCCGCCCCCAAGACGTTGTGCCCGGGACGGCGGACCCCTTGGAGCAAAACATCACGGGAGGCATTCGCCAATTACCACTCGAAATGCTCAAACGAGTCATCGAAAGTTGGACTCAACGGATGGAGTCAAAAAATTAATGCCACAGAATATTCTTTGGAATGATAATAAACTTTCTCCAGTAAATTTGAACTTTCTGTGAATTTTCTTTAGAGAAGTAGGGAAGCTCAAAATGGATCACTCTTTAGCTTTCCATTTTTACGTTAAGATATGATCAATAAATGATGTGCTCAGATTTGTATTTGTACTTAGTTTATTCATATAATGCTTATACATATGTACATTTGTTGTATTGTAGCAACATGTGCAATTACACCGTTACATACGTGARTTTTGAATATTCCAGCAACTACGTGGTGTGCTTTTGTTTTGTGAATATGTTTGTACRTGCTAGCTGCTGCCTTCCAAAATAGCCGAAATGCTGAAACCTTTTCTTTTTGGTCGCGAATGACCCATTAAGCTCTCCAACTGCAGTATCTGTGTATCATTCGATATCAAAGTAGCATTCTTTTTAACTTCGTCATTGTTAACGGTTGTCGCAAGGACGTGCTCATCGTCGGGCACTAGCGAGCGACATAGCACTTCGCTAGCACCAATAGGTATCAATGAATCGATACGCTCCAGTTGTGAGCCTTCGGCTACTGATGGCATCGGCATGGAAAGGGTTTGATCGCCGATAGTTGTATGAGGTGGGTGCATATGTTGAACGTAAATGGGCTGAGATCGGCCAAAGTAGGTGTAAGCTAAGTCGACCAATGAAGGTCGGAGCATTGTTTGCATGTTTTGYTGCAAATGATGGAAAATAAATGACGATTGACCACCATTGTCGAAAGCAGACACGACASTGTTATCCGGTAGTTGTGTGGGTAATGCTTGTTGTGAACTGGCCTCCTCAGTAACGACAGAAAAAGGTTCACGCTCACTATTCGCATGYGCATTAATGATCATCTCTTCGAGCGCTGTCGATGCTATCGAATCGGCCAACTTATTTGATCTCAAGCGCTTTACTTGTGGCCCGCCACCATCGATGTCGGCATCCGCAACATTGTCAACGTCCACGAAGTCATTTTCGCCGTTGTTCGGAATBGTCGTCTTATCTGAACAAATTGATGATCCCGACTCGCTGGTCAGCGGCAAGGCTGAAATGGTTGGCGACACAATGTTGCGCTGACTGTGGGAATGTGTTTGCGGTTGCGTTTGTATTGGTCTTATSCCGTATTGGCGCCCAGCTGGTTGTTGTGGTTGCAGTTGCTCGGAATCCTCATCGGATGGCGATGAAGACATTTTACGTTTACTTCGAGATTGGCCAGTTTCGCGAAAGCCCTTCGCGAACGGATTATTGTCTATCTTCAATTTAGTGATGCGATCATTCTGAAAATATAAAATGTGAAAATATAAATAAAATGAGTTGTCTATGTGTAGGTAACCTTAGTAGTAAGTAAGTAGGTATGAATTAAATTATAGTATATTGTTAGCTAAAACTCCGTAAGCGGTGTCTACGCCAATAAAGTAGAAAAGAAGATATTCTTGAGTATTCCCTTAGATACTATATATCGTCACCTAAAATGCAAAACAGCTTATCATCAAAAAAATGGAAATAACCAATATATAACCAATGTATACCCAATACATAACCTAATATATAACCATTTTATAACCAAAACTCAAGCTTTGTTTCAATATAAGCGGTTTCTATTATATCGTTTTTCCTTCGAATGTAAACCTATGTGACTTTATTTTGCAATTTAGGTGACGATATGTACTTACATTCATACATACATATGCGCATATCACAACTATGAACATATGAATGTATGTACATATATCGATGATCTTAGTGCAGAAACCACGTCACTTAATTTTTAATTAGCTAACGTTGTAATTATATAGTTCCGCCAATTGTTTTAATCTGCCTTACAAAATAAGTTACCCATCGTACACAAAGGGTCTGTGACAGCTTGATGTACATATTTAAGGTTATGTTAAGTACAAGTACACATACATATGTTTGTATGTATATATATATATGTATTTCCTTAACTAAATAGACGATGAAAAATGGTCGACATGTAGCATGACATAACAGTTTAGGAAATAAAGTGGACATTGAATTGGTTAATTAGGTGTGTTCAGACTGGCGCCAAAGGAGTTGTGAACAAAAACACAGCAAGCGATCAAATTAGCCATTCAAACATCGGAGTAGACAAAAACTCTTCAGGAGACTGGAAGCACCATGCACATTTTTGGGTTGGTAGYAGGCGTTACATGCTAATTTGATCTCGGCGCGCATTATGGTACGTTACCGTTTGTATGTGTATGCGTCTGTATAGGCTAATGTGTGCATATATATGTACATACATGTATACATAAGTATGTGAGCTCGATGTTTAAATTTTTAAAAATTGCTCTCCAGAAACTGAAGTCTTCTATGAAAGYGATATGCCACCTTGCTAATAGGGAGCTATAACTACAGCAGGTTTAAATATGCAATMAACCTTTCYAGGGATAAACTCAGACTATATTCATGTTTCCAAATAGGGATCACATCGCTTAGCTTTATCAATAGCTTGGGCTAGATGAGCCTTTGTGATTTAGGAGAAGACACAATAGACCTTACTTAGGTTGCGGTGCATATGTACCTCGTATATCAACCAATCAATCAAGTCAACAGAAACTGACATTTGCTGATCAATCGTAAGCCAATCTTTATTCATTTTACCACTTTTAATTTTTGCTTGCCAATGCACGTGATATGAATTTGCATGTAATATACATGTATGTATATATGTAAATGTCACTAACCTGATAAGCTGTTACGGCAACAAACTCCGTTTCCGGGAATATGAAGGCTTGCTGAGGCGCCCACGGTATTTGCGTTAGATCTGCAGTCCGTATCACGTGAATTCGTGGTTGATACTTATGCATGCTGGCTAAAACAATCTGGGAACAAATATATGTATACACTGTTATTAACTAATTAMTTCAAATACAAGGTTTTCAATACTAAATGTGTTATATTATATGTATTTGRATTGAATTGTGGAGATGCTACAATTTGATTGGTAGTTCTATGTCCATAGATATCAATATTACRTAYATACGTTAATGAGAAAATGAAATACTTACGTGTCCATTACTATCCAGTGTGTTATTGGTCAGCTTAACCTTATTAAATAGGATAGGTTGCGCCTGCCAATGGGCCCCAGACGCTGGGCTATCCGGATGCAAATACATTCTTTGTGGACTTTGTGGTTCCGCACCGCCGGCAGGCATCCACTGCGAACCGGAGAATTTATAACGGCAATCACCTACTGGTACCATTTCCAACAAAACACAGTAATTAGATTCATCTTCCAGGCCGGAAAGCGAAAGACGCATAGAAGGAAACATTCGTCTACATAAAGACAAAATAAAATATACCATTTCAGTTYATATTTAGGCGTAGAAGAACGTGTTTTTACAGTTCAGGGACAAATCTTACAAAGTCACATATTCATAAATAATATAAGTATATAAATAGTATGATAGTCTGGCATCCTRTTGCTACAAAGTATAATAATTTTGTTCACCAAACGGTTGTTTATGTCAACTAAAACTAATCGAGACTGGTATAGGGACATGATTAGCATGACGAGACGAGTTAATATCCGAGTGGCTGTCTGTCCGCCCGTCTGTTTGTGCAAGCTGTAACTTGAGTCAAAATTAAGATATTTTGATGAAACTTGGTCAACATATCCCTTGGTAAAAAAGTAAGGACGCGTTCGAAAATGGAAGCAATCGGACAACTCTTTAAAAAGTGGGCATCTCGTGAATTGAATAGTGGTGGAGTAGCAACTACTGTAYCGATGCGGAGTGTTGATCCCCGCGATCCAAATTTGGTTGGTATTTTTAATATTATCCTGACACTCCAATATTGCGGGGCGAAAATCTGTGAAATTGTTCTCTGCTACACTTCACATATAACACCATTTTATATCCCATCTCTTTCCTTTCCATTATGCAARTCTTTTGACCAAAAATTGTCCAAACGGACCAAAATTGTTCAAGCCGCTATATACCGAATATGTGGCCGATACTACGAACTTTTTATAGAAAATCGGAGTGTATCTTTTGCTGATAATATTATGCGGGTATGACAAAAAACGGATCAATATTTCTCTTATCTCTTATATATGGTACCTAATAGAAAAGATTTCCGGCTGACTTTATACTGCATCTATTGGCAAATATGGGAGTTATCCTATTGATCTCATATCTTATCTTTACTTGAGTAAGTTACTTAAAAAAGGTGCATCTTTTTGCTTAATCTTAAACCATCGGGTGAAAACTTTCCCAAGACCTCGTAAACAACATATTCAATTTTATGGAACAATAAATGTTGAACTCTTTAGCAAAATTTTTAAAAGAAAGTTTCGCCAGCACCTGAAGGTATTCTTAGTCTTTGATGCAAGCTGCATGAGTATGAAATTATCGGCTACASCCGAACTTAACTCTTCCTTACTTGTATAAATTTATGTATAACTATATATACATAGGTGTGTTGCCCGTTTGTATGCACTTGTATGTACATACATATGTATATGACAATAAACAACATTTGAGTTGAAAAGCGCCCGAGTGGGCGTGTCAAATATTTACTTGAAACAATTTTTATATTAACTTATGCGTCCGATGGGACGCACACTCTGGTTCYTTAAGCCTTGTATGAGAAGCAAACATATATTTATTATTTGTGTATTTATTTCGGACATAAGAGAATAAAAATGAAAAGGACCAATGTGTACACTGTACACGTACGTATGTATGTACATCTGTACATTCAAAAATATCATTCGCACAATTTTACATCCATCTCCACTTGTACCTAGCGCCTATAGCTTTTAACGACAGCTAGGGATGCAGCGTGTGGTCAGCAGGTGGCCAAGCACTTGGCGCCAGTTATGATTCGGTATACCAAGCGGCCCGCTCGTGAATTTATTTGTGTGTCACTGCATACAAGGCGACAACGTACATAAATACATACATATTATATATGTATATGTTAGGTAGATGTGAGTGAGTAGATCAATATAAGATATATACATACATATGTATATACTTGATTTCACGATGATTAATTATGAACTTTGGTCCTTTGKTTATTATGTATGCTAAATGTTGAAATTGATTTTCGAACAAAACCTACACAAATTRAAGCGGAGTGTGAACATAACATACCCGTAATGGTTGGCCAAGCCGACGCATGTATCTGACATATTTACAAATGCACGAGCACATACATATGTACATATGTACATWCGTCTATAGTTTGGTGAAAACGTAAACCTTCGTGTGATTTTCAATTTTGTGGTCTAAAGGAGCAACAATCTTGGCACATACGTATCTATGCTCAGATCGTGGCCATCACATGTCATACGGCGGACAGGTATCGATTACGCAGTTTGGTTCTACCTACTGACAACTGGCGCCCAACAATTAAAAATTCAAATAACAGCAATAAAAGCTATTGCTGCACACCATCACCACGCATTTGGAACTGCTCACTTTTGTATACACACAAGTATGCATATTCATATATACAACATATGTACATACATGCATATGCACAAGTGAGTAGATGGAGATTCCTCCACTCGCTACTACTCATAAATAATTCATACTAACCGAATACAGAGCTCCCTACCATACTGCAGGCCTGTGTTGTTTTCTTTCGTTGCGTTGATTGTRTGAGAAAAAAGAGCTCTCCGAGGTTTTGGGCAACTTCAAATTATGCTAATTCTTGAATAGCTAGCTACCAGAAACACAGTTAAGCCGTCGGCACGGGAGCTGCGCCGCTGAAAGTGACCAAAATTGAATGGACCGTAGTGGCTCTGATAGTACGATGTCTGGCTACTGTCCGACTCTTTTCTGTCTGTTTTGCTCTGCTCAGTCGTTTAAAAGCGTTGCAGTCGCCTGCTTATCGTCTGTCCGATCAAAATGCTTGTTGAAAGTGTGAAATTGCTAGTAGTATTTGTCGGGCCATGGATGACACGCTGCGGACATTGTCAACGTGTCATTTTTTAAATGTGCGACAGAAGGTTCAAGTGGCACATTACTGGCGCCGTAGTCACAAATGGGTGATGACCAAAACAGAAAAAAATGGTCTACCGAACTCATACAGTCGATTGGCTATTTAATTACGTTAAATGCACATTTTAACCTTAAGTTTTTTCGAATATTTCTCAAATGTAAGAAGCAGGTGTCAATAGAAGCCTTGCCTTTTGATAACTGAAATTCAATTYTCCGCTCTTATCTAAAAGAAGTATCAATGATAGTAAATCGGGGTGAAGCTGTGTTTCAGAGGCGCTGAACACTATTTAAATAAATAACGTTTACATACATACATGCAAATGTACATATGTACATATATGTATGTATCAATGCATATGCCTTTACATGCCTGCATTCGTTTGATTAGCCGCTAGAATCATGCAAATGTGTTAGTATGGAACCAGTTCAGGCAGTCAAATTGTCAAGCTCTTCTTCTTATAGCTAGGTATTTGGTCCTTATGCACATTCATACCGTCTTACTTTTTCAAATATTTTGCGTGTATTCTGTGTTATAATAGGGAATGCGCGCGTCATTTATTTATTTGTGAGAGATTGCTGTCGCGCCGTTGCTGTCGCCGTTGCCGGCGTTGCCTACGTAAACACATCACAGGCGCCATTCTTTGATGACCACTTAACAGCATTTTTGACTAATGTCGTCGCGCCGTTGAGGAACGTAAAGTGCGTCTACTCATGGCGGCGTGCGATGCATTCACAGTCTAGTTTCGAAACGAAGTGTTAAGTCGGCATCTGCACTTGCTAAAGTCGAACAAATAAATATGATACATGGCTGTGTATTCATACATATGTACATATCTACATATATACATATCATATATATACATATGTATGTATGTACAGTAAGTTAAGGTAGAAGGTGAAATACACATGTGTTAGCTGTTTTTGACCGATTGGCTGACGTACATAAGTATAAATATATACATTTATGTAAATATATGTATGTACCTAAGTTGTATATGTGGCGTTGCGCCTCAGACGTATTTTGATAAGTAAATAATTTTGCGTTTGCAGAGCTTCTTACCTGCCACTTTTTGTTATTATCATTTCRGTGCCAATTTGATGAAACTGTTTCCACAGCTGATCGTTTTGTAATTTTACCTCTGCGTCTGGTAGAGAGATTCTGGGTGGCATTATCACGTGTCCAGGTAACGGTATGGGTAGCATAGGCGGGAAAGGATCTGTTATATAAATGAAACTATGAATAAATGCGCCCATGTGTAAAAATATACCAATTAACATACATATAAAATAAATATGACATAATGTATAAAAATTCATCTCAGCATATTCCTATTCTATTATATTTGTGCACCCGATTTGTAATTAATTATTATTTAATAACTTAACGAATTGTTGGCGTTTAAAAATATTATTTTAAAGTGTGATCCATTTCAAGGCTCCTCACTTTTTTAAAGAAAAAACACAGAAACTACAAATTTAATGGGGGATTTTTATTATTATTCGAAAGAACATGCTTTGACATTTATTTTTTGAAGATTATCTTTTTCCAACATTTGGTCGCSGGTACRKCTCAGATGCTGTAACCSTTGAGTCCAATTCTTGATGACCAGTTCGAGTATTTCGACTTGAATCAAATCAAAGCATAGGCTTTAGACTTTACATATCACCAAAGGAAAAAGTCTAATGATGTGATATCACACGATCTTGGTAGCCAATCGACCGGCCCATAACGTGAAGTTATCCGCGAAGTGGCGCCGGCTTGTCGAAACCAAATGTCGCCGACATCACGTATAGTCGGTTATCATGACGCGGTAACGTTCGCCATTGACGGGTACGTTCTCACCGGCATCATTAAAAAAAAAAAAAATATGGACGGATGATTCCACCGGCCACAAACTACACCAAACCGTTCTTTTTTCTGRATGAAATGGCAGCTCTTGAATCTCTTCAGGTTGCTCTTCGGGACAAATGCGGCAATTTTGCTTGCTTACATACCCATTGAGCCAGAAATGGGCCTCATCGCTGATCAAAATTTGGATTGAAAACGTCGGATCTTCTTGGAACTCTTCAAAAAATAAATAATTTTTTCGATCAATACTGTTTTTCAATAGTTTGTAGTTGTCTGAACTTTTTTTTTTGTATTTTGTTTTGTTGTAATAAACCAATAAGATATTCTCCTGGTAATTTTATACTTTAAAATGTGTAGACTAGGTCGGACTTGTCGGTATTTTTGTATGCCGATAAACTAACATTTCTCAAATACCACTAATAAACGATCATCGATAAATAGCAAGATTCTCACCATATGAGGAGATTTGCTGATAATTATTTGTCGCGAGCAAGTGTTTTTGATTCGTCCAAATTGTTCAAAGGCGACGAACCACGTTCAGGTCCGCCATCAACATCAACTGATGATCAAAACGTCAATAAAATATAGAAATTGGAGCTTGGGAATCGCCATGTAACAATCAGAGATTTTACTGGCATCGTTGGAATACCGAAAAGAAATGGTTCCAAAATCACACCATTTTTTCGAAAAACAGCATCGTCCGTGAAACAATGCTTTCAGTCTACCAGGGTTTCATGAGACGTATTATTACTCGCGATGAGTCTTGGATCTATGCTTAYGACTCGGAAACAGATGATCAGTCGGCAGAATATCGTAGCAAAGGTGCCGAAAAAAGCACGTCAAAGCAGTCCCAAAATCAAGGTTATATTGACAGCTGTCTTCGGAGTACGAGGTGTAGTCCACTCGGAATCTCTTCTGACTGGACAAACTGTCAACAAGGAATACTATTTGAGTGTTATGCGTCGTTTGCGCGAAGATATTCGTAATAAGAGGCGGGAGTTATGAGCCGACAACTCTTGGTTTGACCGCCGTCGCATTTTGGATTTGATTTTTCGTGAGTTTTTCGCCAAATTTTCAACCAATATATCGCCGCAAGTTATTCGCCTGATTTAGCTCCGTGTGGCTTTTGGCTATTTAGCAAACTGAAACGACCGCTCCGAGGAAACCGTTTTGAGTTAATTGAAGATCACATTGAGGGATATTAAGRAAATTTACTTTAACAACTGTTTCGTGGCATATAGTTGGGAAAGTGTATTATTGCCAAGGGGTGTTACTATGAGGAGAATGTCATTGAGTTTTAAGAATAACTTAAGAATTTTAATATTATGAACAAAGTCTTACTATGTTTTGCTCATACTGGTAAAGAATATGAAATGTGCGTAAGATTCTTTCAATTGTTATATGAATTCCAMGCACGTGGTCCGGCGTTTTATATAATCAATTTAATGAGATTGATAGATAACACAAACACAGGTCAATGTACCCGCCGGGGTAAGCAGAGGAAGAGGAAGACCTCCACTTTGTTGGAAAGACCAGGTGGCCGAACAACAAAAAGAAAGAACTACTGGGAGTACCTACGACAGTCGAGCCTACGTAACCGGAATGGAGCCGGATTTTTTATCCGGTCAAGGACTGTCAGCTGGGCAGAACTCTGCCGCTACAACCAGAACAACAATAACGACTGGCGCGCTGTTGTAAACTCGGCTATAGCCGCTTAAGCGGCGTCATCGCCATTAAAGAAGAAGAAGAACAAGTTGAATAATGCCGTTGGATAGCCTGCACTCTGTGGCTGCTCTAAAAAACCACGACGATATTTAAATGCTAATGTGTACATGTGTATATAGATATTTATCTTGAATATTGAATATTGCACCGCGTCCTAAGGTCTATTGTGCCCTTTGTGATACGTATACAAACAAAAATGAATATGAAAGCTTTCGTCTTCAATAAAATGAAAATATTACCTGGAATACGTTGCATAATTTGCTGGCGATAGATTTCATGTGCGATTTGCTGCTGCATTCGCAGGTCCACAAATTCATTCATGGTCATCATCTTGTAYGCCTTCGACCGTTTATTGGGTCTAATTCAGTTTGAATATCCCTTGATGTTTGTTCCGATTATTATGTGTTCTCAGCAATAATTGACAAAAAATAGTTTGTTTTTTCTTGTAATTCATGTAATTCAATCGTACATATTTTCTAATCACTGTATACTATTACGTCTCGTTACTTTATGTGAGTGCTTCTGTTAAACAATACAAAAAAATACATAAATTGATTCACAACACTTCTCCGCAACTTTCTCAAACGAGCAATATGTCAAGTGATTTAGAGTCACGTCGGTACTCATTTTGTTTGGAAGATATTTTTAGCGCGATAAATCTTATATGTACCATATATAATATAAGCATACGCATGTGTAACATTATCGTTAGCGAAACAGGTGCTAAATTATCGAAACGCTTTGCTCTTTTGCAATATTAATTTGAAAACGTGTTAATGATCTTCATATTATTGGCAATAGATCGTGCAGCTTGCGTCTTCTGTATCACAGTAAATAGTTATGCACCCTCTTACACTCGCCGTATTACGGTAAACATTAACACATGTTTATGTATTTTATAAGCACATACAACCGAATGTGTACAATACCGTTGAATGAAAGCTCTGCTATGTACATAAGTATAACCGCATAAATAAATAAAAATGTCAACGAGAAGTTCGACAATCGCGCGAGGGCGTTAATTCAATTAGCTGGCTGCAGTGGCTCTTAGCATAGTTTCAGGCCAGTAATGTCTGCAAGATATTTAGCGCGCGAGATAAAGCAATTATATGACAATTAGAGAAATCAAATTTAAATAGCCAGTGTCACTTGGTTAATCAATTTGTAACGCCAATGACTTAGTATGAGATTTTCTTGGACATACTGTGACGCACACATACACAAACGATTCAATACACGATGACACAAGTGTATAACGTGTTATTACGCCGGTAAAAACTCGTGCCCGTCCCTAACAAAGTTGACTTCAAAACTGAGTAAGTACTACTAAGTAAGTTTTCGCATGCAATGCTCGCTTAAAGAGCTTCCACGCTGCTGAAGGTCGAGTCGAGTCGTAGTAGCTCACAGCCGGTTCCAATCAAGGGAACATGAATCCACAATGTGCRAATGAGCGTACAAATATCTTAACACAACCTGAAGTGGCACATTTCGTTACACAACTTTTAAACGCTGAGAGGCAAAGGTTGTCACTTATGTACATACTATACATTTGAAGCGAGAAGTAAACTGCTGTTTTTCACAATATTTGTTTTCTCCACTAACAACGCTGCACGCTCACACGATCGGTGAAACTGAAAAGTGTGAGAGCGATTCGAGAACGTGTCGTTGCGGAGAGCKCACGAAAAGTGATCTGATTGGCTGTTATGACTTCAAATTGAATAACTGTGAGTGCGCGTGAAACATTGTGTTCGAACTGCAGTTGGCTTGGTGGCTTGTTTCTGTCGCCATTTTGAAATTCACGTCTTGCTGCTGGTGGTGATATTGACGCTTGAAGTTGTTGACTTCCGACACCGTAGTTAATCCCATCTCGGTTACGCTTTACGTGTTTGCCTCTTTTAATAGCACTCTATCTTCGTTATCTGACTCCTCCCTCTTCAACAGCTGTTATTGCATTTCTTTTTGCAGTTTTTTATTAGCAAGMAGGCTGTATCACCTTACAATTACACATATGTACATATAAGAATATGTATATACTTAACTACATATGTATGTATGTATGTCTACAGGCAATAGAGATCTTTCAAATAGTCACAATTGCCTTCCAACGACGGTTCTCCATCATATTAATTGTATGCTGATGCTTAATGTCTATAATTAGTGAAAGGCTCATGTCAACACCCTAATTGTCATAAAGAAATTTTATATGTAGTTACATACTATTGAACTTCCCTGACACGCATCACCATAATGCACAAAAAAGCCTCAAGTTAGAGAGTCTTCGAGTCATGGAAAAATTTTGTATGAAATTTGACTTCTATGGCCAATTCGAGAGTTCGAGTGAGTTACGGACGTTCGAGTTATGTTAATTCACCTGTATTTCTATTATTGTTCTGGAAACTGAATATATTCCTTGTTTTGAGTCAAATGTTATTGGCCATTTAAAATCCTTTAGGATCAGTACATGTCTGTATGTAACAAAAAGAGGACGATCAGTTAGCCTTAAATAATTACGAATTAAAAAATAATCAAAATCCATGACATGAACATCCAGCCAAGCGGAAGTACACCCACCTCTGCAGATAGTTAAATCCGGAACAATTAGTACGGCTGACGAATTGCATTGTTTATGTGGTGCGCCTTGTTGCCTGTAGGTGGTATGCGTAAATATGTATATATGAGCACCTACAAAAGTAGCATATACATATATATTTATGTATGTATGTGTGTTGAATCGGTGTCGCCCGGAAACCATTCAAGGAAATTAACAACAAATCACTCCCGTCTCAAAGACAATCAGTGTAATAAATGTGCGGGCAGACTAGTAAATATCCGCATTAGATAAAAGGTGCCTCTTTGTTTGTATTTATGTACATATATATTAGATATTTATACTATATATGTTTGCATGAATGTACGAAACGCATTTTTTCGCTTTACCTGGCTGGTTGTCTTGTTATACCTACTAACTATTTAACTGCAGTAGAAGTACCCAGCAGGGAAACACTTACTTCTTCTTCTTTACTAGCATAGGCACCGCTTTTGCGATTATAGCCGAGTTAACAACAGCGCGCCAGTCGTTCTTACTTTTCACTGTTTGGAACCAATTTGAGATTCCAAGTGTGGTGAGGTCCTTCTCCAACTGGTCTTTTCAATGCAGTGAAGGTCTTCCTTTTCCTCTGCTTCCCTCGGTGGCTACAGCACTTTCAGAACTGGAGCGTTTTCTTCCATACGGACGACATAACTTAGCCAACGTAGCCGCTGTCTCTTAATTCGGTGAACTATGCCAATGTCATCGTATATTTCGTACAGCTCATTGTTACATCGAGTGCTGTATTCGTTGTAGCCAATGCGCAAATCTTCCGCAGAACCTTTCTCTCGAAAGCTCTCTTTAGATCATGTCATCTTCCATGCCTCTACACCATATAGTAGGGCGAGGATGACGAGTAACTTGTAGAGTTTGGTCTTTACTTCTCAATTGCCTACGCAGTACGAAGTAGCACCTGTTGACACTGTTGTTGGTGTTAATACTGGATAGAAGAAATTATTTACGATTTCGAAGTTGTGTCCGTCAACAGTGACGTGTGAGCTAAGTCGCTGGTGCGACGATTGTTTGTTTGATGATAGGAGATAGTAAACGTTATTGAAAATCCAATTAATACTATGTCTTAGTTGATATTAGGTATCAATAATTATTAATTCTTTCGTGAGCTTTGAATTCTTTTGCTAATCATTTTAAAATTTTGCCTGTTTAATTATCTGTCAAATCTTATCCGTTGGCAACACCAATGACTTTGACTGAAACTAGTTGAAGTTCTTAATACTAAAAAAGAGTTGTGTTAATTTGAAATCTAATTGCTTCAACTTCAGCTCAACTGAGAGAAGTTGCAAACTCTATTAAGGTATTGCATTTAAAATACGTTTAAATATTCCCGCTTTATTTCCCCCGGTAACTGCTGAAAGTTAAAACTGTTATAACGGCTTCTGTAACAACATGTTACGAACTTATGAAAACTAAGCATTAAAATTTTTTATTAGCAATACTTTTATGAACACCTCTTTAAATTAATGTTCATTCTGATAATTCTTTGTAATGAATTTAGTTAAAAGGTACATTTGGGTTAAAGAATAAATACGGCGTCGTGTGCAGCAGCTAATGACAATGTGTGGTCAATTGTTCATAAAGATTACTGTTGCCACCGTTCCGCCAATTGCTGCCACTTAACAGCTTCAACTCTTTACGCATATGAAATTACAAATTCGATTCACATACTTAAGATGCAGCCCTACATATAAACAGGCTCCAATAATTGTGAGGTGTTCAATCGTGTTTTCATGCTTTCGATGACTACCGCTCAACTGCACACCGCACGCAGCTCACTTTATTTATGAGGTACACATACAAATAAATCCAGGAGCATTTTCATATAAACATTCGCTCTGATGGCGGGAATATCTGACCGGCAAAATAGCTAACGTCGATAATACCAAGGGCCATGCACGCTCTCAAATTATCATAAACAAATAGTAAAAGTCGAAAATGCGCTACTTGATACTGTTGTTAAGTTCAATGTTGCTTCTTTGATGTTGACTGTCTCAGCTCTTTACACTATATTCAATGCCACGCAGGGTCTTTCATTACAGTGGATAAATATCGGTCTACTGTCATAATGCTTTATATATGAATGTCTGCTTTAAAATTCCTTTCCAGTAAGAGGAATGAAATACATTTGCCTCGAATTATACAACATAATAACGATGAAAGGCATATTTGGGGGTTTCATAAAAACATTTTAGGTTGTCAAAAAAGTCTTGCGGTATTTCATGCGGTATTTTTATTGAATTTTCAATTGTTCATAAAATTTTTGTTGATGACTCATGCCTAGCTCTTGACCGATGCTACGGCTGCTACTAAGCCGGTCTCTTTCGACCAATTCAGCGATTTTAACGCATTTCCGGAGCGTGGCGCATCTTCGACCACCTCTACACCAGAGCGAAAACGTTGAAACCATCGTTGTGCGGTGGAAACGGAAACTGAATCGGGTCCATAAACTGCACAAATTTTATTGACAGCTTGAGGTGCATTTTTGCCTTTATCGTAGTAGCACTGTAAAATATGCCGTATTTTCTCTTTATTTTGCTCCTTGTTTGCGACGCTATAACTCACGAACGACTTAAAAGAAACGACAATCAATCAAACATGTGTTAGCGCGTGAAATGAGCTTTCCAAAAAGGTATAGCATGACCCGATGCGACGAATAAAACTAGAACTACGCGCTCTCAGCGAAAATACCGCAATACTTTTTTGTCAACCGAATATTATTATTTTATTATGTTTTAACAACAATTTGCTCTAAATGTAAAACCCTTTAAAATCGGACGTATGTAAGATTCATACATATTTACATAAATATATGCGCGTATATTGGTGGCAAATACGAACCGGTTCCAAATGGCAAATTTTCATATTCCACGAGGCCGTCGTTATCTTCGTTGACCACTTGAAGAGAAGATTAAGTGCTAAATCACTACTGGAGGTCGTCCCGTCCTGCCGTCGCTGCTAAGTGCGTAAGTCTTTGCTTTACTCTGTCGAGAGTCACTTAAGTAATGTTTAAGTGCCACCAACTGCTTGGCTTTTTCACCAACCATCTTCGTGCATAGAAATTATTGAAACACTTGAGGATTGTTATTAAAAACAAAAACGGTATTTACTGTCTATATTATTATCGTAGGCATTTACACAATTTGTAAATTTATAGAATTATCATACCCACATACATACACATGCCCCATGTAAGAATATTGCACAAGAGTTAATTGGTAGCTTCACTTCGACTATTTTGTAGATAACCATTTTCAAAATATCTTCTACAAATAGAAAGAAAGTTAAGCCAAATACAAAATTGTACAGACGCTTAATTTCCACTACCGCCGGTGGGATGTTTAAAGGACTTTGGGCCAAAAGGCATTTGCGACAGCGCATGTTTCCATGATGGCCCATCGCTTACCAAGCTTCCTACTAAATAAAAGAACACATGAGGATACTGGAGCACCGATCCGCTCCCAATTTACCGATAGCGGTTCTAGGGTGCCTTTCTTGCTAGTTCATCAACTTTACGGTTTCCTGTGATTCCGCTATGGCCTGGCACCTATACCACTCCTGTCACAAAGGCACTCGATGTTATTGATAGCGGAGTTAGGCCACTACTCGACCAACCCTGAACGCATTTTTATTGGCCTGCTGCTGCACTTTGGTGCTTTCAACCTCGGCTTGGAAGATAATGCAATAGTCAGCAAGCCTGCAGGTGGACTTGAAAGAGACCTCCTGACAGTAAACCTCTCCACCAACCCTCCCCCTAAGCTTTGACCCGAAGTAGCTCACTTCCCCTCTATT